GTCTGCCGTTTTCTTGCTGTCCCCTTTTCTGTAGGACTTCTGTAACTCTGCTGTCTCCCTTCTTGAAGACTTTGACAACATAATGGTAACACCCCTGCTCTGTCATTCCTCTTTCTTTCTTTCTTTCTTTTTTTTTTTTTTTTACATAAACTTTTATAGCATTACTCTTTGAACATCAAAATGAGAAGCAGGTTATTCTTCTATAGCTGGTAATAATTATAGTCTTCATTTCACTGTTATTTACTTGGTTTATGTTTGAGACTGTAACACAAATTCATGAATGCATTGACCATGTTCAATTTAATGGAGTTTATTTCTGAAAGTTTTCCCCTTTGATTGCCTCATGATTTTCATCATATGTGTACAGAAACCAGTGGACGTTCATAGCCTGGGCTTGGGAGCATAGACCAGTTTGTGCACCTTCATCTCAGTCCCAGTTCTGAGCCCTCCTTTTTCCGAGCTCTTGCTTCTCTCTGCGGTAACTCACATCATTAGTAGAGGAACGCATGGCATGCTGCCTCATAGGCCAGTGCAAGATAATGAAACCTGTGGTTATGAAATATATCCTTCTCATCACATCCCACTCACTGGCTATTCCAAAATTCTCAACAGAATGCATCATTTCTATTTTCTTTCCGGTATGGAGAAGATGTTTTTTTCCAGCATAGGTCTTGTGCATGCATGTCATAAGACTTCACCTCTACTGCTTTGCCTGGGCTAGCTAAGAATGCATGTTTTGCATTAAATTACTTATAGGTTTCTGTATCAGGTAGCCAGCTTACAACATAAACCCAAGAAGCATTAGAATAAAAAAGAGCACACATCTCATGTGAATGTAAGTCAACTTGTTTCACTGCCAATTTAATGGGTAACATTTTCTATACATTGGTGAAAATATCCTTAACTGCATATTCAAGCTTTGGAAATATTTAGGTTACTAAATACTTATTATATGGGCAATTTCTTTAATAGTTATCTCAGCAAAGGAAAGTATGGAGACTTTTCTGAAAAGAACTAATTTTTCTATCAATTTTTTTGATGTTTTGTGTTGTACAGAGAGCAGGTGAGGTTTTTATTTATTTAAAAACCTGAATTAAACATCAGATTTAAAACTATTTTAGAGGTAGCTTATGTTTGCTGTAGCCATTTATTGTTCAGATAATAATGTAATTCTGATAGAAAACAATTTGTATCAATCATTGATTTTACTTTTTAGAGAAAGAATAGACAAAATATTTTGTGCAGTATTTAAAGTCAAAGGTTCTATGATTTCTATATTCATTCGGATTAATGGGAATATGTATGTATATATCTTTGCTTTCCTTTTCACCATTCTTATTTTCCTTTAATATTCTCTAATAGAAATTTAATAAATGTACATACTTAACCAATCATTATATTCATTATTTATGGACATGTTAATAGAATATATTGTAAAAGTTCATTATTGTATGAGGTGTGTTTATTTTAGAATGAATCAGTTTTTCTAGCACTTAATCTTACTGTTAGTTGATTTTCAATCAATTTATCTTTAATGTGAGAGCTTTATAAAAGAATCAAACATAACTGGTCAACAGGACCTCTAATAATTATAGAATCTTCTCTGTCTATTGTCAGAAAACAAAATATACCAGTATAATGCGATGACCGTAACTTCTGGATCTCATCATGTGTTTTAGCCTTGGGCACCATTACTCAGTACCTTCCAAACTAGTATCACAAATAAAACTTTATTTGCTAGGTGGCTCATAAAACATTACCCACTGGTTTTCATTGGGTGACTTTTATTATTATTCCTAAACCAGCATTTTCAGAATCAGAGTCACAAAATCTGGCTGTGTTTTTCAGGTACAACTTGCCTCCCTACTTGCGACCCTTAGACACTATTGAAAATTTACTAAATGGGGATTTGGAAAAGAAAAATAAAACGTTACTAGTGAATCGAGTGGATACAAAATTCCTGATCCTGAAATGCTGCTGATTATAATGCTTACTGTCTGCTAGTTGGAGGTATAACCAATTCTCTTTTAGAAAGAGGTCTTCACATATGCTCAGTTGACTGAGAGAGTGAATGCTAATGAAGAGAACAAGACTCAGAAGAATGAAAATTATGATTGAGGATGATTTATCAAAAATTTTAAACTTACTAAATTAATTTCAAGTGATCCAAAAGGCCTTTGAGCCAGCATCTCTTTGAGCTCACCTATGTCATATGCCCCCAGTTTGCCAGGCACGATCCTACTTTGCACCTGTCATCCTGGCCTGTCCCTGGTTGGATGATTAGTCTTTTCTTGATTAATACAGCAAAACCATCCCTACCTACATTAAAAAACTTTTAGTGAGTCTCTATCTTTAGTTTCTTTGATTATTCTCACGCTTTGGTCCTTATTTAGCATTTGTAAAGTCTTTCAAGTCACTGAAGAACTTTTCTTATTCATTATTTTCCCAACAAATTGAACTCTTTTCACAAATTGAAATAATGTGTTTCTGGCATTATCCTGGGAAAACCAAAGAACAGTAGGAAGCGATTTCACTTTGGGGGGAAGAAACTGCGGTGTTTTTCAAAATAATTCAGGGCAACATTTGATAACAAAGCTATTCACAGAGCACTTGGAGAGTGCTAGTCAACTTGGGGTGGTTGTGATTTCCTCAGGGAGGATATTGCACATCAGAATTATTACCTACTATACTTAAGCAGGTGGTGGGAGGGAACATAATGTGCTCATAAATAGTTAACCTTTAGACAATAATCATTGACTGAGAATACAGGAGTTTCAGACTACAAAAACTGATTTGAAATTTTTGATCCTTTTCCCCTTGCTTCTTCTGAAATTATAGTGTTTTTCTTTGAATGTTTATTTTGTGATTTGTTTAATGTAGAAAAGTTTTTAATTCATATTTTTTGTTTCTACAATCTCAACTGTTATTTGTCAATAAGAGTATAGCCCAGTAAGTTAGATACTTACCTTATTAGTATTCTACTTTTCCCCCACATGTAAGTCATAGTTTGTTTTATAAGTTTCTCCAATAAGCAAAGGAAGAGTAAAGAGTTAGATCTGATTTACACATCTGCATGCAACTGTCACATACAGGTCACATTTTGTTTCCCTTCAAACCAAATTAGGTCATGGATATTGTAGACTATTTATGGATCTCAAGATTCTAACTCATGTATAAATAATTCATTTTTCTTCCTTTCTGTAAAAATGATAATATACATATATTTGTGCCCCCAGAGAAGCACAAAACAGTATTTCAGGGACCTCACACGACACTGTCAGATAGCATTGATTTGAGGAGTAGCATTTTAAAATCTGGTTGATTTACTGACTCCTCGGCATAGTCTTTGGAGAATCAAAAGCCATTTGGATACTTTGGGTTCTCATAGAGGGATTTGGGGCTATTTTACTTAGACCCAATCAAATAGAGATGCATTTGTACTTAGATTAATCAGCTAAAGGCAGAGGGTATCTTCATGATACCCTATTTTTGAAAGTGAGATCTTGTTGAAGCCATTATATACAGATATCATAGTAAATACTCTCAGAAATTCATGTTTGGTCCATGTATGGGTGGATAGAGTCACCTTAGGAGAGGCAGAAGTTTCTTAAGTGCTCTCAATTGATTTTATTTGGGGATCAGAGAAAGGGCTTCACTGTCTGATGTATATATTTTATTTCAGTATCTCTTAACAAATCTCAACAGAAATCCCCCTCATAGTTGTTTTTTTGGGATAATTTTAAGAGGCTATATGTCTCTAAATAATAAGCACCAATAGGGTTTTAAATATTTTCATCCTTAATATCACTTATGGAGGCATGTCATCATAATGGAAAGAGCTTGAGCTTTGGAGTCAGACTCACCTGAGTTCAGCTGATGGCTTGGCCAGGTCTAGCTGAACTCACATAGCTGCTGAAGCTCTTTGAGCTTGGCTTTTCCTGGCCAAAGAAAATGGAGATGATACACCCTCCCTTCAGAGTTCCTGTGAGAAAATGGGAATAAGAGCAAGAAGCCCCTTGGCATATAATAGATGTTTAATAATTATTGGAGTTCTCCATCTTAAGCTAAATGTTTATCCATTTCCCCTGCTAGAAATATCTATATTATTTTCCAAGAACAAAATATTTTGTATAACTATAATTTAGCACCTTTTAAAAATGCAGACATCTATTATATAAAACAGTAGTAAACCCCTAGGATAAACCCCATTCTTCACAATTAGTAAGTCCCAAGGAAACCTAGGGATGGTTGGAAGCTAGGCCTCTTTACTCACGTGATTATTACTGCAAGTTTCCATGAAGTGGCTTCTGCCGCCAAACATAAAATACAGACTACTCTTATGAATTAAATATTTATTTCCCTAAAGCCAAAACATGTAGTAAGACTGGCGAACAGATGTTAATTGGTTCTATTTTATATTGTAGTTGGTTAGAATTGTATCTGCTATTAACATAAATTTTTAATGATTATATTTTTATTGATTTATTATAGTCCTAAGAGATACCAAATTCATCCATTGAATACATGGCTAAATAGGCAATTTTTCAGTCACTAAAAGAAACTTTATTAAAAAGTCATGAAATTTGTAATTAGAATTTGTATGTACCACACCTTTCCTTTATGGGCACAGGATGGTGTGACCGTGGTTTCGGATTTCACAATATGGAACTCACGCCTTTCACTCTAGAGGGACATTAGTACCCTGGAGTATACGAGAACACTGTCTCAGAGCCTCTCACTGATTATTATGGCTTGTATTATGGCTTGTATTGTTATCATTGGGGATATCTGTAGTCTTCTTTGGAAGAAATAATAAGTTCATCAGTCTCTACACACATAGGAAATTGATGAGGAATCAAATTTAATGCAGTTTGGAAATCTGCAAGTTCTGTATTCACATAATGAGATTTGGTGTCACAGGTTATTGGGATTACTAGCCAGGAGCTCAAATCAAGCCCTCATTGTTATGATCAAGAGTTTGCCTTGGCTTTGTTTTCCAGGGCCAGCCAGGGGACCAGGCTGCTCTCTTTGCTGCACAAGCACGGCCCTCCCCTCAACTCCCCCAGTATCCAGGGCTGCAGCAAGCACAGGTACCTACATTTGCTTTATAGATTCTGCCAGGACTTTTATTGCTATTTATTTGAATGGGAAACTAAGTAAATAGGATATCAACTCCCTTTCGGGGTCTAGATCTTAGTTACGTCTTCTGCTTCTAGATTATAATTGACATTTCAAAAAAAAAGCATGACCAGTGATTATTGAACAAGTCTCAGGATTAATTAATTTAATGAACATACAACATTTTAGGATATTATTGAATTGAAAACATAAATAAATTCAAATCTCTCAATGCTGATTGTAGATATTGAAATGCTAAAGAGTCCCAGAGTACTTATGTTATAATATATAATGATGTAATTTATGATTGAATTTATCGTATTCAAAGAGAGCTTCAAAGAGAAATCATGGTAGAATAAGAAGATTATTGGCCTTGGAATTAGACCTTGGCGCAATTCCTGGCCACTTGCTAGCTGTGTAACATCGTGCAAGTTACCCTGAGTCTTGGTTTCCTTCCCTATAAAATAGAAACGAACATTGTGAGGATTTAAGACAACCTATGGAACTGTGCTATGCTGCACGAGATACACAGCAGCTGCTCAACAATTGGTAGACTTGCCTTAATACAATGTTAACTTGGAGCTATTTTTTTCTAATAATTTTGTTATTTCTGCATCCATATACTTTTACCGTTACTCCCCAAATCGGGCCAGGGGTGTTGGCAAGATTGTTAGTCGGGGTTAACAATTCATACTGTGTTCACAACTGAAAGGAAAGCTGAGATTGGCCTTCATGAGCACTGAGCCCTACAGCCTGGATCCATTCATGCTGCTTGCTGGGAGTTCATTATATGTTACTCTGTCCTCCACGTCAGAGCCACTAAACTACGTTAAATGTGGTGCTTCGAGGATTTGAAGAGCAGTCCTGTTCTACTTTAATCAGCATTCTATTCTTTAAATTGTAGATAGTGATCCAGCAGAACCTAAGGTTTTCCATTTACATTAGCTGTCAAGATTTAAAGAAACAGGTTCTCATATATTAATATTGCATCAAAAAAAGAATTATTCAGATGATTGGTACAGTGGTGGACTAGAGAGTAATGAATCGTCACCAGTTACACCCTTACTCTCTGGTTAGGGTATTAATTGGGTTTTCCTTTTTGTAACTGGTTAGTTACTGCAGTCACATTCATCAGATCCAAGGAGGTGTAGTCACATATCAGGAAAGTGTACGCCATTATTTTAATTTACATTGAGCATGGGGGTAGTTTTTCTGACTAATTTTAGAAATGACATCAGTTGATGCTTGGGATCTGTTGAATATTGATGTCATCCGTATACGAAAGGTGTGGATGCTTGCCTATAAAGAAACATGCCTTCCTTTCCTTAAAATAAGCAACTGATCTTAAAACTAATCTCTTCGCCAAATGAGTCTTCATTTTGTTTTTTAATTACATCTTCTGGTAATTCGTTATATAACTAGTTCATTCTGTAGCTTTATGGCTAGCCTCTCTGCCTCCATGGTAGTCGTCCTCATATTCTGAGTCATAAGAACATCGGCAGACAGTGAATTTCAGGGGGCTACTCCTGGGTTCTTTTTGAAACACTGACTTTGGTCTCTATGCCTGCCTACAGACCATGCCTCAGGGCTATACGATGTACGGAACACAGATGTCTTTGCAGCAGACGCCACAACAGCAGGCTGGCAGTGTGGTTCTCTCTCCCAGCTATAACTCCAGGACCTATCCATCTGCACATTCCAACCCGGCGCTAATGGAAAGGCTCCGACAGATGCAGCAGCAGCCAAGTGGCTATGTGCAGCAGCAGGCGTCACCATACCTGCAGCCTCTGACTGGTTCTCAGAGGTGACACAGCTAGAAATAGTGATTGCAATAGTAGACATGCTTCTAGGGCATGGTGCTTTATATTGTTTTTATGAACTTGTATATTTGCATGTTATTTGCATTCTTTCATCTCATTTTTAGGAGCACCCAGATAGAAATTCAGAATAAGCAATGACCCATCTTTTTCATTTTATTCAAGGCTCCTATAGTTTGATTCACATCTTGCATAGTGTGAGTGTAATATTTTTAGAAGATACCACTATATTAGCTCCAGTGTTCTTTCTTTCTCCCTCTTTCAATAAAGGCTTTTTGGCTAAATGTATCTAAGATTAAAAAAAAATGTTGAATATTGTTAGCAATACCTTACTAGAATATGTTGATCAGAGCCATAAAATCTGCAATTTTCAATACTCGTGCATGGTGCCCAAAAGAGTTGTTAAATCTTAGTTTCTTCCTTTTCCAGTTCAGAGATGGTTCACAAAGCAGAATCAGGAGAGTGCTTTTTTATTTCAGTTTTTGTTTTAATCAGGTCCCTTAGACATAGTGTATAATTGCACTGCCCATTATAGTAGCTACAATCTACATGTGGCTATTTAAGTTTAGACTAATTAAAATTATATTAAAAACTTAGTTTCTCAATTATACTGGTCACATTTCAGGTGTTCAGTAGCCACATGTAATAAGCAGGGCCAGCTGTGAAGTTTTGTAACTAGGGCAGTCACCCAGTTCATTGTCGAAGGGCCCCACACTTGATTTAATGCTCTGTTGTTACCCTCTTGAAATTCTTACTAATTTTGATCAGGAAGCCCTGCAGTTTTGTTTTGCACTGACACCCCAAAATTATGTAGCTGGTCCTGATGGGCCGTGACTGTCTTATTGGAAGGCACAGATGCGAAACATTTCAGTCACCATAGTAAGTTCTGTTGGATAGCATTGATTTAGAAGAATTAAGTCTTGTGCAAAATTTTGTACAATAGTGGATAGCAGGGCAACTTAATTTCTTGTATTATCATCAATGGCTGCAGGTTGTTTAGAAAGTTGACAAGGTTGATGGTAGCACATTTGGGGAAATAACTAAATTTGGAAAACATACATTATATTTATTATCTTTCTAATAAGTTGCAGCATAGTGTATTGCCTAAACACTTGAACTTTAGAGTGCGGAAGTTCTGGATTTAAATGCTGCCTGTGCCATTTGCTGCCTGAATAACTCTGATAAATTATTTCTCTAGTTGTCTGTTTTCTCATTTTTAAAGTGGGGATAGCAAAACTGCTGGCATCAAAAGGCTGCTGTGAGGAGTAAATGAAAGAACACATTTCAACTTTTACCATAGTGCCTACTTCAGAGTAAATGCTCAGTTATTATCACTCATTATTAAAAATTATTAAAACATTTTTTAGAAAGTAATTTATACATGATTTCAGTTTCACCTTAAGTAGTAAGCATGCCTGTTGCCCTTTTTCAAGTGATGCTATCTACCCCTGAGAATTTAGGTTATCTTAACCACCGGTCTTTACTGCATTCGAATTGTTCAAGAAATCATTGAACACAATCTTTTCTCTGTGAATGTGTGTGATGCGCTAGTGCCACTGATTAAAAGGGTGATGGTATGCCTGGGCCCGAAATGAGCTGTGTTATTCTTCACCAGACTGAATCATCAGTCCCTCCAGCAGAGCCCTCTGATGGGCGGTGGAATCGATGCGGTGCTGACCTCTGCACACCCGAACCTTCCCTCGGCGCCCCTGCCCCAGGACCCGATGAGGCCCAGACAGGCGCAGGTGCGACAGCAGCAGAGGCTCCTCCAGGTATGGTGCTGGAGGTGAGGGCAGTGCGTTCTGGGTCTCAGTGATCATGAGAAATAACAAACACTTCAGACTTTAATTGCCAAGTGCCAGGGAACCCTTTGTATTTGATACTAGAAGCTAAATTGGGGTCATTTAGTTCCAACTTGGCAAGGGTCTTCTTTTCTGTGCTCTACCAGATCACAGGTAGGAGAGCACGTTTCTCAGTGTCCTTCCCCTTTCACTAAGGTTCAAGAGGGTAGCTGGATGCCTTTATTTTAATAGCATAAGCCTCAGCTTACCCAGTCATTGTTTAACTAGAGGCCAAGCAATTTGAATGCAGAATTTCTTTTATGTGCTTAAGGAAAAAAAAGTCCAGAGCTTTTATCAGATTCCTAGATTTTTTTTTAATCCAAAAAAGTTTCTGTCACACCTCTGTTCTGATTAGGCTGTGAAGTTGGCGTTACATAGATAGACTATTTCAAAGGGAGATTTCATCTTGACTCTGTTAGAATCCAGAGAGTTATCCTTCAATTATTTGATATAAATATTTGAGTCTCCTAAATAAAGCGTTCCTCCCCTGGGCACATTCTTGCTTCTGACTTCCTTGTTTAAGAAATGCAGGCTATATTATGTTTACCTGTTCCGTTGTCTTCATTATTCACAAGCTTGTCCTGTTATTAGATTGGAGATTGCCTGATGAGTCTGAACAGTGGACTCTAATCATACCAACAGTCCAACTTGAGATGCACTGTCATTTTATGTATTGCTAAGAAAGGGCGGGGGAAGCACCAAAAATGGGATTCTAGTAGACTTTGGGTACCCAAGAGCTGTTCTCTTGGAGTGAGGTCAATGAGAAATAAACCTGCCATACAGAAAGGGACAGCAAAGGAACATGCATGTCTCAACCAGCCACTGAATGGAGAGAAGAAAAAAATTCCTCCACTGAGAATATTAACCACAAGCTCAAGTGGGTTTGAGGTATGAATTCAGTGTGAACCAAAAATTCCCCATTGGCAGTGTCCCCAGGGGATAGGCAAAAGCCAACATGAATCCCCTAAAACTAGGCTTCACAATTTTAAGATGCCATTAGTTGTAAGATGCCATTAGTTGTATCCTAGATTTTACTTGTTAAAATGTGAAAAAAGTTGTATCACAAAATTAATAACATATATTAATTGGTTTGGGGGGAATATGGCCTACCAGTGTCCAATCCCACTCATTGTGTAGATGTTACCTCCAACATGGTAAGAAACCCTCTAATTCTCATAAGTAAAATGGAAATCATTATAGTACCTACTCCTTAAATGTGTAATGAGAATTAAATAAGAATGTGCAAGTAAAACTCATTTGTTAATATTATGATTAATATTATCATTAATATGACTATTAATATAATACTCATGTAATATTTTCTCAAAATAATTTTTTTCCAAGTTCTGAGGATATGTTTCAGAACTCTGTAGAACTGATATTTATATTTTACTCTGTTTTAAAGTTTACATTTCAAATCACTGAGGAAAATTATTATATTATTTTTTCATTTACTACTTTCTGTCTTATATTGGTGTTTTTTAAGGTTGCAGATTTTGAAAACCTTCCTTTTTGGTTAAAGTGTACTTTTTACCTCAACATATGTTCTTCTGATGATTTTTTTATTACAAATATATTCCCTGCAGCTAAAGAAAAGTGATTTGCTTTTACATCAGAATTATACTTCCTTTTTTGGTAATTGACTATGTCTCTGGAGGGAAAAATTAATAATTATGAAACTGGGTTGATTTTTCATGGAAGAGTTCACAGAGAGCCAAATGGAGAATTGGCTTCATTATTGTAATCACTGTGTTTCTGGCCCAACGTGCATTGTTTGTGTTGAGGCTCTCCCTGCCCAGATATCTGCTTAGATTCCATATCCATGAGTGTTGTCACTTAGTGAGAAATGCCATCTGGCAATAGCTATTTATTACCTTGCCTAAAGAAGACATGTAAATTGGGGGATAGTATACAAACCAAGTTGGAAAATGCAAAGGCTAAAAAAGAGTCTGGCACGGTCATCATCAAGATGAGTGTTTGGGTGGAGGAAACTTTTTTCCTCTTTCTGTGTGTTTCTTCTGTGACTTGGTAATATTTTACCGAGATGTATGTATCTGAGACAACTTTGTCACAGATACAATTTATGTTTTTATGCTGGTAGCTTATGCCAGAACTTTCCACATCTACAGCTTCCTTTAAAAAAATTTAATCTTCGAGAGTTCTTCAAAAACAACTCTTCTCCTCTTCCTTCTCCTCCTTCATTTTCATCTTCATCTTCCTTTAAAAAAAAATCAACTAATCTTCAAGAGTTCCTCCAGATGTCATAGGGAATGAAAAGACAACTACTGAGCAGTTCTCGTCTAACCTGTTAGTATACGATAGGATAAAATATATGAAAGGGCAAATGACATGAAAGGAGTTAAAACAGTAAGTACAGGGGATGTCCCCAAGACGGTGTAAGATGGTGTAGACAGTGAACACTGACAGTGATCACTACTGAGGAAGTGATCCTTGAGGTTGAAGTGGTCCAAGAAGGCTTCATGGAGGAGCAGATCTAGGTCTTGCCCTTGAAAGATGAACAGTGTTTGACAAGGCAATGATAGAGGAAGCAGGTGCAAAAAAAAAATTAAATAAAAGGTATATATAGGGAGGAGATTGGAATGATAGTAATAAACCCTAAATTTAAATGTATAATCCTTTCTCTTTCTTTCTAGATGCAGCAGCCCCCCCAGCAGTCCTCACAGCCCCAGAGTCAGACCCTTAGTCTCCAGGCGATGCAGCCCCAGCAGCCTTTGGTAAGGCCCGGTGCTTTGGAATCAAATACGTGGGTATTTTCTTTAAAGTCTGGTTGCATTTTTCATGTCCCGTAAGATTGTTAAAAGTTGAAATAGCCTAGCAATTTTCCCTAGAACTTTATCAGAGTACGATGGTGTTATTGTAGTCACTGTATTTGTTTTCATAGAAAAGTATAAATAAGTATTTTGATTTTAGATATTATCATTTTTCCTCCAAATTTTTTTCTGACCTCTTTATGGACTACAATGTTTATATTCAGATGCTAAGATTTTTGTCTAAACAATGCTAAAATTATAATTTACTATATATCTATGTTTAAAGATTATTTACTTTGAATTTTTACTGTAATCTCAAAAAAGCATGAAAGTGCTTTCTAAAGTATTCTTTTCTGATGTTAAGAGGAATACCAATTTCAGTTAGTTATTTGCTGCAGAAATTTTCATGTAATTCATAATTATATAGTTTACTTCTCTAGCTTCGTAAATCAGAATTTGAAATGTTGTATGCATAGCATCAGTGAATATTTTGTAAACTTCAGTAATTTAGAACAGCCTTTACTTTTGCAGGCACCATATCTCTGCTTCTTTACTATTTTTTTTTAAACTGCCTCTTTTTCTGTTTACTTAAATGAATGTATTCTAAGAAGGAACATTTTATCACTATCATCAGTGGTTACATCACTTGCTACATATTGGAAATATCTGTAAAAATAAACACTTACTGTAAAGGTAACTCCACACCATGTGTGGTGTACATGAGAACTACCCAAGATGAGCGGGCTACTGTACACGTCTTACACTTGGGGAAGCTCTAGTGTAGTCTCTTTTCAGGACAAGATTTGAAATGTGGTTGGTTTCACAACTTGTAGTAAAGAAGGAACAACATGGCCATGGCTGTAGTGCATTAGGAGGAATCAGAGTAGAGGTAGGTGGTAAAGGACTGAAAATGCCCAAATAGGACTGGTAAGGGAACCTGGTCAGCTGGAATGAGACATTAGGTACATTGGACAAGCCTCTGCCTTGGCTAGTTTGGTCTCCATTTTCAAAGAAATTCTTCTGTATCATGGATCTAGTTTTTTAGCTCTGATTTTTTTTTTAATGTGTTTGTGACATTACTATAATGCACCTTCAAAATGTTTTTCAAATAGAGGCAATATATAAACATTCACAGGCTGCCTACCTTCTTTATAATCAGAGGTATATTAGCAGGGATTGGCTGACTTACTTAAAAATGTGAAAGAGAATCCTTTGGATGGGAAACTGCTTAGCTGACTCTAACGTCTCTCCTAAGAACAAGATATAACTTTTTATTTTGAAATACTTTCAAACTATGAGAAGAGTTGCAAGAATAATACAAAGAATTGCCATCAACACTTCACCCAGATTCACTAATTATTAACATTTGCCACATTTACTTTATTATTCTCTCTATAAATACGTACACACACACATTATTTTTTTGATCTGTACACTTGAGTAAGTTGCAGACTCATGCCCCTTTACTCCAAATAGTTGTTTGTTTTTGCGAGAACAGGATATTCTCTTACAGAAACTTGGTACAATTATTAAAATCAGGAAATTGGTAATATTAATGGAATACTACAATCTATACATCTTTTGCAAATTGTGCCAGTTGTATCAATATTGTCCTTTATTGTAGGTTTTTTCTTGGGCTAGGATCACATTTTGTATTTAGCTTCCATGTATGTTACTCCCCTTTAATCTTGAACAATTCTGCAGCCTTTTTTTTCCCCCTTTGGTCTTCATGACATTGATATTTTTCAGGTGTCTAGGATTTTGTTGAATGTTGCTTAATTTGATTTGTCTGGCATTTCCTCTGAATTAGATTCAGTTTATGAATTTGGGCAGGTGATGAGTCTTTCTCAGTGTATTACATTAGGATATACATTATTGATGATATTATTTTAATTGCTGCATTTAGGTGATCTGATGGATTTGTTAACAGTTATTGATTTTCCTTTTGTAATTAATAAATAACTCATGGGAATGTTTGATATAATCTAATTGTCCGTTTACTTCTTAGACTTCACCCACTACTGTTAGCGTATATTAAGTTATTCTTGCCTAAGTCTGCTTTTACTGTGGTAGGGGGAAAATGATGTTTTGCAACTCTAATTTTTTCCTGCATTAGCAGTTGGTATTTTATTTTAGGAAAGAGCTTTCCCTTCTTTCTCATTTGTCTGTCTATTCCTAAGTTGTGTTTTAAATATGAAGCCTAACATTTGACTCTTTGATTTTAAAATGTGCAGCTACCGAGAAGACTAAACTTTACCCAGTATTCTGGAGTTGTATATGGCTTCAATTAGGTTAAATTTGGCAATTTAATAATTCACTTTCTACTAGGTTTATTAGTATATGAGGCAGCAAAAAAAAAGCTTAAGGTTGTCCTCCTTTTTCTGGTTTCTGTGTACAACAAAACATTCTGGCAGTATTTTGACAGAAAGCTAAGAAACACAAATTTTGTCATGTTGACTATTTGGAATATTTGATGTTGATCTGGCAAATTTTTAGCCTTTTTTTCTTTCTAATTTAAAACAAACACTTCTTATGCTGTAATGCTCATGTTAGCAGCACAGATTATTTAAGGAACTGGGGGAATTAACTGTAATATAATTGTACCTTTTCAGAGATTTAATGCAAATTTATAAATGAACACTTGACTAACAATTATAAGGAACTCATTAATTTGAGAATCATAACTTCTTTGGTTAGTTGTTGCTAATAAGGAAATAGTTATATTATACCTACTTTAACAAAAAAACACAGTTAATGTAGGACTGCTTTTATTACTTTTGAGTGTATAATAGTATAATATAATTTTTAGCTTTTTTAACTTTTGATTCATATACGTAAGTAAATATCTTACATATGAAATATGCATATATATGTGGCTCACAAATAAAATCTGTATGTACATTTAACCTACATATTTAAATTTATTTATATTTAATCTGGTTTTTTTTGTATTTAAAATATCTGTTTAATCATACAAATGTATGACTGCCAAATAAGACTGCATGAGTTTTACTTTTTTTAAAATGTTGACTTTAATTTGTAGGCACACGTCCTTATAAAATAGTTAATAATTTTAACAAAAAAACTTGAATAGGATTGACATCTGCAGTTAAGCAGACATTAACAGTATCTTCATAATTTTTCTCTTTGGCTTTTCATCCACCGATTATTAACCATGACTTTAGTTAGTTTGTAATGTAATATGTGGGATATATATAAATTATTAAAGGTATAAAATCAAGGGTTTTTTTTTTTAATTTTTTTTAGGAAGAATCGTGCTATATAACCACAGATGAATATTAATATCAAGTGCCTGAAATATAATAGTTATTTTGGGTGAGATATAAAAAGAAACATTTGATTCTTTCACAAAGTTAAATTTATAAGGCTGGGGCAGGATTTGTCTTTAAACTTCTCAATTATAATTTGAAGCAGAGGATAAGGTTATGCAGAATTTAAAGGACACTCTATCCCCATGTTTCACTAGAATTGAAATATACCTAATATTAAGGGAATTTAACATCTTTCTACTCATCTCATAGTTTTATAAATATTTAATAAATTCATTATGTGTGAAGAATATGTCAGATTTATTCAGTATTGACTTCTAAGACAATATTGAAGTTTTCTAATGCACTAGTTCATATTTTACTCACTATCTTAAAATATTTTTATCCCAGGGATTGAGCAGTTGTGTCAGATTTTCCCTGTTGTATTCATGGGAGAGAATTCCAGAGAAACAGAAAATTCCATTACAACAATCTCAATAGATCTATAAAATCTACAGTAGGCTTTTTACGGCTTTTTTTTTCTTTTTTCTTTTTTTTTTAAGCTGAAGTCTCTTTAAAAGCTACCTTGAGAAGCACAATGTCTTATTTTGATATTTAGAGCACTGTATTGCAACCTAGGCAGCAATTATTTTTGCCAAGGCAGAAATATTGTACATGGCATAAGTCTTAAGATGGTCTAGGAAATTTAAAATATCACTTAGAGTGGTAGATTTCAGATAATTTTAGAATTAGAAGTTAAAAGAATGGTCAGTGATCTTGGTTTTTACATTATTGTTATTAGTTTTTTTAAAGCATGGTTTTATTTAGCACACATGTTTACATATACTTTTAAGTTTATTAATGTAGTCACATATTTATAATTTTCTGTAGCTGTGAAGTCACTCCATTGTGTTGCTCTGCTATTATTTGCTTAACCGCCCTACCTACTGTTGAACATGTAGATTGTTCCTAATTTCAAAAATAGTACTTCTAAGGATATTTTGATACTTGTTCTATTCCTCTTTTTTGGGTCTTCTCACAATAAAAGAAAGTAGAAGTATAGCCAAAAGTTAACTTTAGTTGTATATCTTTAGAACAGCAATCGCACAAAACCTCAGCAATATTAAGAAAAATTTTATATTTCTTTTTATCTTTTGGTATTGTTCCTTATCCCACTAAGTTTTATTATATTCATCTAATATATTTATTTATTTTTATTATAAACATCTCCAGCAGATCCAGTTTCTTGTTACTGGCCAGTGCTCTTCGTTCTTTGTTTCTTTCCTTGCTAGAAACAAAGCAGTAAGCTAAGCCAGCTGATGGAGAGAAGCCAGCTCTGACTCATTTCCAGTTCTGATTCATACAGTTTCAGGGGAGAAGCGGTAGTGGTAACACAGCCACCACCCTCCCCGTGACTTATCCTGCCACTATCTATCTGATGACTTTAACAATTTAATTCAGCAAGCGCTTATTCAGTATGTGCAGTGGAGACCAGCACTCTGCCAGAGCCTATGTAGACACAAATGAAGTGCCAAATATGAAGAACAGAACTACCAATGGAAAAGAGTAGAAGAGCTACAAAGGTTGTATTAGTTTGCTAAAGTTGCTGTAACAAAGTACCACTCACTGGGTGGCTTAAACAGCAGATCAGGGTGTCAGCAGAATTGGTTCCTTCTGAGGGTATTGAGAGAGAAATCTGTTCAGTGCCTTTCCCCTAGCTTCTGGTGATTTGCTGGCAGTCTTTGGCATTTCTTGGCTCACAGAAACATCACGCTGATCTCTGCCTTCATCTTTTCATCATGCACTCACTATATGTGTGTTTATGTTCAAATTTCCCTTTTTTTTAATAAGGATACCGGTCACATTGGATCAGGTCCCACCCTAATGACCTCACTTTAACTTGATGATTTCTGTAAAGACCCTATCTCCAAATAACGTCACATTCTGAGGTGCTGAGCATTAGGATGCCACCATATCTTTTGGGGGGAGCATAATTACACCCATAACAGAGGTCAGGAATAGTGTGAGAAGCTTGGGAAGCCTTGATGGGAGAGGTTGCATACGGTGGGCCATGAAAGGCAGTGGGGTCCGATTCACTGCTTTCTGACTATTCACTTGTCAGTCTTTCCCCCTGTTGACAGGAGCAGCTGGGACATGTGGGACAGTGATCATCAACACCTACGCAGGCAGGTTGGTCACTCCTATAAAAAGTGTATCTAGTAGTCAAAACTAACTTGGAACAGAAATTGGGCGCTTTTTCAAAAAGCCCATCGAAAAACAATTTTCTCTGAAAAGAGCAAGAAAGTGTAAGAAAAACTCATGTTTACAAAGCTTACAAGAAAGTGTAAGAAAAGCTCATGTTGGCTTATATCAACGCCTGTGTCGTCATTTGTTTACTTAAGTCACTTTTCTGTGAAAGAAGAGTATCTGGAAAGGAAGACTAGATGCCCTTGCTGAAAAATTATATTTGACCTCTCTAGTTTCGGCCTAAATTATAGTTCTTGACTTGAAAGATACTTTTAAATCTTATGAATTATGACAGTTAAATTAACTCTTAACTAAATATATTAACAGACTGTGGTTTCCTTTAAAGCTGCTTCCCACTTTTAAGAAAATACTGTTTACCCCATCCTGCTTTGTCATTTCTTTTCATCTTAAACTCAGGCTCTCCTAGTTGTGTGCTAACCAAAAACTTTAAAATGTTGGCTTTTTAAATTGGCTCATCTTTGTGTCAGTGTCATATTACATTGAATACATGTCTTATAAAAATATGCATAATGGCAGCAATAGTTATTTAAACTATTGCATTAACTTTTAGTCAATAATCACATGTAAAATTGCTGTATAATCTTCCTCAAAAATCTTATGTTCCCTTCAAAGAAATTGAAAAATTTTTCGGAGTGCTTCTGGAATTTAAAAGTAGCCAGATAATATTATTCACCTTTTCAAATGCAAGAAATTAGGTCCAGGGAAATTTATCGTGCCACGTTGCCTTTCTTTGCACGAATTTGGATTTTATTTTTTCTTTTTGAAAATAAAGGCGATGTAACGTTTATAAAAGGAAGTCAGGGAAGATATTTTTGGGAGATTTTTGTTCACAGGACAGATGCATTTGATATATATTTTTTTCACTAAACTGATGGTATGCAGATTGAAAAAATATGAGTGCATGCAAATTGTTTCTTAACTTGCAAATAAATGCATACTAACTACTCTGAAGTCCATCGGCTGCTGGTCTCTGAGGGTACCAACCTGCAAGTGTATTTGTGTCCAGGTGCTCAATAGTGATCTCACCAGTAGTTGGTTTGCTCTAGCAACAACCTCCCAGCTGCCAGGAGGCAGGCACAGTGTTTTACTCACTCTTGTGTCCCTGACCCAGAAAAGTGCCTTGATCTGGATAAGTATTGTTGAGTGATCTGTTGAATGTCACAGCAATTAAGGAAAAAACTTCCACACGTTATCCATAAATAAAGAAAAACATAGTTTAAGAAGACAAGACGCCTAAACCAGCTAGGTCCATCACTAACTGAATCAGCCGTGCTGCTGAGTATGATGAGTCGGTGTCTGCTTCTGCTCTGAAAGGACAAGCCCAAAGAAGTCAAGAGAGACAAAAAAAGATTCAATGACATTTATTTAAGTAGAAATTTTTACTACTTAGTGATGTATTTTTCCCTTAGTAATGATTGAGCAGAAAAAAATTAATGTTCTTGAATAAATATGTGTTGTCAGAACAGACATTTAGAGATCAGTTGGAATACATCAAAATACATTTTAATGTATTTTTTTTTTTACTTCAGCAGAGAACATGTTTACTGGAGAGTGGCTACGCCTTGTTGGCCTGTTACACCTGACTGATACTGTCAAGCTCTGTGCTCTGTCTTGTGGTTGCAGAAGGAGCCAGGCACAGCTCCTGCCCCAAAGAAGCTCAAAATACAGAATGCTAGAGAGAGAAGCAATTGTCATGTTTCACCATGTTTAATAATAAAGGCATCTACACAGTGCAAAGGATACAAGAGCAGAGATTCACTCTTTAAATGCCTAAGGGAGTGGGTGACAACTTGAGCTGATTTTTGAAGGCTGGGTTGTTTTTTAAGAGAGTGCAGGGAAGGATAAAGAGGAAGAAGGGTATTCCAGAAGGAGGATTAATATCTGTACAGGCACAGAAGGGAGAGAGGCCATGATCATCTCCTGGATGGATAGAGTCCAGAGAAATCTTTCCCTCTTCATTTAAGCAGGGGAAATTAAACATACATAGATTGTGATTTTTAGGACCTCTGGTAAGCCTCAAATGACCTATTTATTGACGTGTTTTGGTAACTTAAAAGTTCCAGCTGACTACAGGGATGACTCCAAAATCTAGCCAAGCATCAGACCACCTGGGGAACCATTTAGAAATACAGATTTTTAGCACATTCACCCCACAAATTCTAATTCAGGATGTCTGACCTAGGAGGGTGACCCTTACAACTTTCCCTGATGGTTGTTTGCTTCCTCAGCTACATAACAAGGTTTAGTTTTTTGCAGGAGGAGTTCAGTGACTTGATTTGAAATGCTCAGTAGCGAGAGATTTGTGTTGAGGGGGTTGGTGACACCCTTTCTTTCTCTGGCACTAGGTATTCCAGGGCCCAGGGAAATTGCACATGGGGTCCCTTACCTGCTCATATTCATATGCAAATTAAGCAAGTTAAAATTAATATCAGGTGGTCTTGAGAGAAACAGATGTAGTAAAACACTACAACTAAGAAGACTGTAGTTGGTGGATCCATCCCACCACTTCCTCCTGGTCAGCCTAAGGAAGTTGGTCTTAAATTTCATGGCCTCAGAACCCTTCACATTCAAAAAATTGTGGACCTGGAGAGCTTTTGTGTGTCTGTCAATATTTACTGTATTAGAAATTAAAACAAATATTAACAATATTTGGTAATTCTACAACTCATTACATATTAACAGAAATAACTTTATGAAAAGTAGGTATATATTTCAAAATAAAAATTAGAAGAATGACATCGTTTTACATTTTGAAAAATTCTTTAGTGTCTGAGTTAAAAAGATGTTCGCTTTGTTGCCATATCATACATATGTAGACTAAAAACTGCATTAAACTAGTAGAAAAAGCAAATAATTTCTAAGTATTATTATGAAAATGGTTTTTGACCTTATAGATATGCCAGTAGAGTCTTAGGGTGCCCCTGGGGCTACTGTCTCATAAGGCCACTTGGCAGACCACCCACCATTCCCCAGCATACATACAGACCCACAAATGTACCTGTACACGAGTACCCCCTGCCCCCACATGCACACTAGCTTCCCAGATACCTAATTACTGCCTTGGCTCCTCAAAATATAGAATCTGAGGAGATCACTATAGTGCTTCATTCTACAAATTACTCTATTCGAAGCAGACTTTAAATGAACGTAAAGAGGGCAGCTAAGTATTTGTTGAATGAAAAAAATAAATGTCATGTTTTTGTATTCCGTACCTTAATCAGCTGATAAGATTAGACATCTTTGCAGTCAACCATTTAGAATTTATGATTATTTATAAATAATATTTGGAAGCTAATATTTCCAATTAAGTCTAGCACTAGATTATATTTAAGGTCATCAGCTCTGGACCCAGAAAGTTTAGTCTGAATTCCAGCCCCAGTGCTTACAGGGATCGTGAACTAAGTGACTAACCTCAGTTTCCTCAATCTGTAAAGTGAGAATAATAGCTCTTTATGTTCACTTCCCAAATTCAAACACCTGTTATTTATAACTCATTGAACAGCTAAACCCGACCTGAATGGACATGAAGCTCTTTTAATTTATTTTCCTTGACATCACTATTCATGTGTTTTGCTGCAGAAATTTAAAATATTCGATTATGGAGTACTGTCTTAGACCTTGATCAGTCTGTATATTGTGAATGTTTCATAGTAAGTTATATGTGTATTACTGAATTCCAAAATACATCTGCCACAGGATTTTATATAAGACGTTGAGGATGGGTATTACCACATCAGGGTTAAATGGGCTAAAGTATACATATAATGTCTAAAACACTGCCTAGCATGTAGAACCATATTAGTTTGTGTTAAATAGAGTAATATTTCCAAATAAGCAGAAACTACTGAATAGGAAAACCACTTCATTATTTTATCAACATTTTCAAATCAATGAAAAATGGATTTTTGTTTTCTTTTTCTCTCTTGATTTGGGCAATAGAAAAAAATGGCAAGCTGTTATTTTTCTTTTCGTGTCAGGGAAAACAATAACATTAGTGGAGGTGGACCTCTCTTGTGATTGGGAAGGTTTGGAAATTGAAGGCACTTCAGAGTTAGTCATTCTGTTCATTTTTTGCCTAGCACCCGCTGTGTGCCTAGCACTGCTGGATACTTAGGGATACATTAGTAGATAAGCCCAAGTCTTTATCCTTAAGTCACTCACGGTCTAGTAGGAGGAAAACAATTGAGACAAGTATCGTGCCAAATACTAAAACTTTTAAAAGAATAAACCCAGTAATGCCCTGTATTCAGGTTGCCAGATAAAAATACAGGACCCCAATAAATTTGAATTTTAAGTAAACAACAACTTACACTAAATGTGGTATTTGTTCTATGCAACATTTGGGACATACTTAGAACTAAAAAAAAAAAAAAAAAATTGTTGTTTATCTGAATTGACGTTTAATTGGGCGTTCTGTATTTTCATTTGCTAAATCAGGCTACCCTACCTATAATCCTGGGCTGTTTTCAGCCATATTGGCAAGCTCTGAAAAGGAAATACATGTTTCACTCATATTGGGTAATGTTTTTTGTTTTTGCGTTTTGGTGTTTTTTTTTTGAAGGCTATTTACAAAAGTATGGCCAGGGTTAAGAGAAACTAACTAGGAATGATGAAATGCCTAGGGCTAGAAGTAGTGACTACCTCTTGGCCCTATGGGGCAAAAAGAGGGAGAGAAATGGAGAGAGCCCCTGGCAGGAGCTGTGGCCTTCCCACAGAGAGATGTGTTCATCAGCTGAGACCCCTTATGAAGGAAATTGGCAAAAAACCAAAGCTTTGCTCCCTCCCAACTTCACTCTGCTCAGACCCTGCAATCTCCTGGCTGTCGCCACTACCTAACCAGAAGTCGGAAGGCTTAGGGTTGCCACACTCAATACAGGAGACCTGTTGAGCACAGCACCCAGTGGGTAGGAAATGTGTCTGTGGGGGTGAGAAATGGCACAGTTCTGATGTGTATGTGATTAAGATAGCCGTGTAGCAGAACACTTTTATGATCTCAATAAGCCAGGCAGAAAGAAGGGGGAGAGGGAGAGAATGGAAGAAAGAAAAGGAAGAGCATGACAGTCTTAAATTTGAAGGTTAAAGGGAAAAAAATCACTACCAGTTACTTTAATCAAAAATAATTTTGCTCTTACCAGGTAAATTTTTTTCTCTGTAGAAAGACCACCACAATTTCTTGTGTCAACTTATTGGAGAGAACCAGGGCACATATGCCTGCACTTACATGACCCTAGAAGCGAGCGCCTCCTCGGTGCCTCAATAGGCTCACCCTACCTCCAGCCACAACACACAGAGTGGGGTCAACTGACCTTCATCCTCCCAACAAGTGGGAGCTCATAATCCCCAAAGAGTCCTAGACCTTAGGGCACTGTTCTGCCTCAGGACATTCTTATCTCCCTTCAAGCAAGGCAGGGCCTCTGCTTGAGTAAATCCACCCCCCCATCAGAGAGTTTTCATTTTGCCAATGAAAATTGTTTGTAATATGGTGATGCTAATTAGCCAATTGGTGAACAGAGAAATAACGAGGATATTTGAACCACTGGGGCACCACTGGAGTGTGGACTCCTTGATCAGGACTCTTCAAATAAATGCCAAGTAACTTGGAGAGTAGGTTTTAAATGGATCAAGCACTCCAGATGTTCATCAGATGTACACCAGGGTGTAGATAAAAATTAACAAACACACACTGGCCGTGACCTTTGTCCTGAAGTAAAGTACATTACAGATTGACCCCAGGAACCAGTCTCTGCTGTCATCTGTGATGGGCACCATGGGCTGACTTCCCTCTTTCTCTTGTCACAATTACAGTTTCCCAGGCAAGGTTTGCAGCAGACCCAGCAGCAGCAACAGACGGCCGCCCTGGTACGGCAGCTCCAGAAGCAGCTTTCTAGTAAGTACCCCTCCAGCACCCCAGCACATGGCTCACCGGAAACTAAAAAGAAGCAAGTAAGCAAAACACAATGGTGGCTCCTCAAAGACTGCACTGCCTTCCTCGGTATCATTTCAGCTTTGGTTTAGCCCAAGGTGTTCCCATTTTGTTTTAGTCTGAATGCTGCTTTTCTTAGAAAAAAACTATTTTTTTTTTTTCCAGTGAAGATGTTTTTTCCCTCTTGCATCCATCTGAACCTGGAAGTGTTGCTTTTCATTTGAGGGACCTCTGTGGAACTGCAGGTGCCCTTTTTATAAAGATGGAAGGTTCAGAGAACAACTCAGCTGATGCCCTCAAGTGTAGTGCTGAAGGAGTTTCGGTGGTCTCCCAAAGACTGTAGGTAGAGAGGGGCCAGCATTAGACCTATCTCTTGGTCACTAGGGCTGTAACTGCTCTTACCACTGCACAATCTTCCCCTTCTGGATAACTCAAATCAAAACCTGTAACATTATAGGCAGCATGGCAGGGCAGTATTCTTCCCCAATAATCTTACCTGCTGTGTGGTGTGATTTTTTTTTTTTTTTTTTTTTAGTTGTACTATCTCTCCCGAGTGCACATCCCCAACCCATTGCAACCTGCCTCACCTAGATGCCAGCCAGCAGTGTGGGTCTATGAATTGAATCACCCCTGTGCTTGAGTCACAGGATAGGAAATTCTTCTAGAAATGGGAGCCAGCCCCCTGTGATGCAAAGAACATTGGCCTGGAAGTCAGGAGACCTAAATTCTGGTGCCAACTCTGCCACCATTATCTGGATCATGTAATTTTTCATCCATGAAGTGAGGAATGAGGGTAGCAGTTTCTCCTGGTCTCAGATTACATGCTTCTGGAGGACAGAGTTAAGAGCAGGTAGTACTGAAGACAGTTGTGCGACTGATAGGGTGCCATGAGGGAAGGGGTCAGTCTGTGACTGAGGGGCAGCTTGGTTTCAGTCTTACTTTCTGCCTGCCTGCTGTCTGTGTTGATTTCCTGTCAGAAGGAATAACCTCTTGCACCTTGTGTCTCTACAGGGTGTAACCAAGATCTTTTCTCTTTTAAAAATGTTTTCCTCACACAGCCTCATTTAATTTCAGTTAAATCTTGTAACTCAATCTTATTTTCCAATTACTGTTTAATAGGTGTGTGGTCTATGAAACAAATGTTAAAATTTCATTGTTTCATTTAATTCCAGAGTTCATATTTTCCCATAGCTAAATAGAACTTTAAAGCCGACATAATATGTTTATATTTTAGATTTTTTTCTAGAATTTAGAAATGTGTACCTGTGATTTTTATGTAGTGGTACTTATTTAGGAAGCCTATCTATTCTTGTTTCCTGTTACCCGGAGCTCACGAAAGGCAGCTTTTTTTTTTAAGCCGTCATTTATAGAGCACTTTCTTATACCCAGGCACACTTTGATTTTACATGTATTCACTTAATTCCTAAACCACCCCATGAGATGAGATATTATTACTGTTCCCATAGTATAGATGAGGAAACAATTAAAGACCAGGCACATTGACTCATTTGCCCAAGGTTATTCAGCTAACGTTAAGAGACAGAGCTGGGACTTGAACTCAGTCTTTTTCCAGACCGCACTCTTAACCACGGTACAGGCATACCACCTTTTATCGCACTTAGCTTTATTGCACTTCAAAGGTGTTGCATTTTTTACAAACTGAAGGCAGGACGCTCCACCAGCAAATCTATAGCGGCTCACTCTATTGCGGTGGTCTGGAACTAAACCTGCAATATATCCGAGGTATGCCTGTGTATACTCTGCTGCCTGATATTAGCAGTTATGCCAGCCTTTGTTGAATAATGGCAGTGAAGCTGAGCTGCCCACTGCACAACTGCAGAGGGCTGCTTTATTATCATAGCCCATGCGAATGGGGCCTCTAGATTTGAATAGTCCCACCAGAGTTGCACAAGCAGCAGCTCTTTCTAATCCTGTCTTTTTTAGTACCTACTGACTCTTCTTTATTTTTCCTGTGTGTATGTGTGCATGCACTGATGTGGATATATGCATAGGCTCACACTTGAGTCAACACGTACATAGCTGCTCTTACACACACATATACACTTGCACAGTCCTCTCTTGTACATGTTTTGACCATTTGCAGAAAATTGTGCAGGTTCAAGCTACTTCGCCTCTTATAATTTCAGTGCTAAAGTAGAATTTCTGGTATGCTTTCATAAAAATTTTGAGCACTTCAAATGCTTCATGATTCTTATAGTCCTTTTGTTTGTTAGTATTGAGTTGTTTCTCAGTTCATTCTCAGTCTTGTGCTGGCAGTTGTGGGTCTCTGATGTCGAGCTGGCCCCTCTGCAGAATGAATTCAGCTGCAGTGTTTACATTCTGCCACTTGGGTCTCTAAGCTAGCATTGTACCCCGTGGCCAGTCCGTTCCCTTATTCCTCAGTCTGGTACAGAGAGCAGTGACAAGAGGATAGTATCTATCTGTGGCATAATTTTGCATCTGCAATTTATTTGAATTTATTTTCTTATTAGGTAACCAGCCACAGCAAGGAGTGACTCCCTATGGGCATCCTTCACACTTCTGAATCTGGAAGAGGACAAGACATGAATTTTTATGTTTGCACTGAAAAATAGAAAATCAAATTTAATGCATTAGTCATCTTTAGAAATGTCCCTTTGTTCTTTCCTTTCTTTGAAGTTTTCCTATATTTTATGCTACTTTTCATACAAAAGTGTTTTAACAAAAAGCAAAGGAGGAGGTGTGGTTTGGTTTTGTTGCGTTCAACTTTAAAGTAGGTTTAAAAATGTGGATTATGCTGGCCTACTCCGGGAAGAGATTGTAGCAGGCCTTTAGCTACTGATGCATTTTTTTGAATCTCAGTGAATTATGGTGGATTTAAAATATTTATATATTCACTAACAATGAAGACTTTTTAAAATTTTTTTTGCAAACTGCCGGACCAAACTACTGATTTGAAAGGCATGTCAGATCTTGACAGGAAAGCAGCCCATTTATTCTGCATTCACCTGTGATGGTGAAATGGACATTTATTTGCATCACTCTAATTTGAAATGTTTGTAATTTCATAAGCACTTTATAAACTTTGTTCTTATTTAGGTAGGCGTTTTCTTTGCTTTTGTTGTGGTCAAAAGGTGCTGAAACAGATTGTTGCTTAATATTTAAATTGCTTAGACCAAGAACTTAAACCAAGACTTCTATGAGAGCCACCCTAAGACATGTGGGAAGAAGTAGCTGTGCTCAGATTCATTTTCGGTGGCAAGATCATTGACCAGTCTTCATGAAGGTACAACATGTAGATTCTAAAGACCCGAAACAACAACAGTAGAATTGTTCTGGTAATTTATTGACAGGTTTGGCAAAAATGGCTCTGTCCAGTTTTGGTTCTCCTGAGCCTTATGCCAACTTGAGAAAAAAAAATCTCGTAGCTGGCTCGAGGTTCCACAGTGCTCAAACTTGACATGGTTTCCAGAGGCTCTGGCTCCCAAGTCCAGAAGCCTCTGGTTTTCATAAAAGATGTATTTACTGTTTATTTTGTATGGTAAGTATTTGCTATTTTGAATTTAATTCTTAATGTTGGTGTCAGTCTTGGTTGTGTATTACATATGCTGTATTTATAAATTGGTGCAAAAAGCACAAGTAAAGTAAATTATACATCAAATTTATTATAAAGAAATAGTAACTATTTTAACTTTGTTCAAGTATGTGGTAATTTGCTCCTATTAGAGTAAAAAATACAGTAAATTATTATCAGTTTGTGTAACTTAAGAGTATTCCATATAATATTTTTTTAGACTTAGATGCATAAAATTTTGAATGTGAAAATTGCAGGGCATTTTAAAACATGTGGGGGATATTTTCCCATGTTCTGTGTTATTTCGTTTTCTTTTGCCATATGATTTTACATGTAATATAGTTGCGCATACTGTGAATAGATTTGTCTACAATGAGCAAACCATGTAGAACTACTTTTTTTAAAGTGTAGCTAGTACAACTTTAATAGATCATTTCTTTTGCAAATCATTATATAAATAATTTATATCTTCCTAGGTGAGTTATTCATTGCAAAGTTTGACTCATGCAAATGACCTCAAATACATGTCCGCTTACTTTGCTGTGGCAGCAACCATGTGAACTGCTTTGTACACTGTGAAACTATTTCACTCCAGCCTGCTCATTTTGTGTTTACTCTGGGCTGGAAAAGACTTTGCCAAAACATTAAAAACCAATCTTTTCACTAAATTAACATATTCTATCTGCTTTCAGAAGATGGATCTTTACATTTCAGCTGGTTTTGTATATCAGGGTGTTCCCCCCCTCCCCACCCCCTCTCAAGAATCAGAGTCCATGAAGTTATTTTTCTTCTAAGTAATATATCCATATAATGACTGCCTTGGCAAAACAACCGAATTGTGAATGTTGTGCCTAGTGAGTGAGTCCTGTTCCATCCTGATTGTTTTATTTCTTATCAAGAATTATTGGTACTTGAAATGTCAGTTTTCAGTTTGAACTATATATTTTTGTAGCTCAATATTGCAAACAGCAGTAATACTGTTTCAAGAATGAGTGTTATAATTGCATAGCATTTGTATGCACTTTATATTTTGAAGAAGTTAGTGAAATTAATTTATTAATCATTTTGCACAAGAAAGCTGTAGGATATGCCTTCGTTGTTGTTGTGTCCCGTTTTTAGGTGAGGAAGCTAAGTCTCCTTTGTAAGGCCCTATAATTCAAAGCTTCTGTGGAAGTTGAGGGAAAACCTGAAGCTGGTTTCCCCCTGAGCATTATAAAGAAGGCAACTGGAAATTTTAATCTACTAGTCTTATCATATTAACTCCCACTTCATCCTCTATCCTGAGGTTTTGTGGTTTTTTTCTTTTTTAGCAGCTGCATTAATTTGCATTAAATGATCACAAGGGGAACCCTAGCCTTTAACAGAACCTGGTAATTTGCTTCGTAAGTAGAAAGGAAATTATCTTAGGATAAATGGAAAACCCCATTCCCCTTAAAGGTAAGACTTTGAAATAGAGTGGAGTTGGACATAATAAGCCTTTAGACATACCTGTTTGCACTGTAGGCTTGTTCCTAGTAGAGTTGCATTTGTCATTTTATTTATTCCTCTTGGCCCAGAAGTGGAGGGAAATCACTGTGGAATGAGTATCCTTTGATCTTTTGCTGCCACAGGTTACCAGCATCAGAGGTAATAGGTCTCTTAAGTAGGGCCAGCTGCAAGCTGGTATGAAAACACAATGAAGTGAGCTCCACGTGTCTCAAATGATTGGCAGTGGCTAACATAGCTCTGGGTTTTGTGTACTGAGATGTCTGAGCGAGACCTACGGCATTTTCTTCTTTTTCACTTATTACGGCTCCTATAATTCTTCTTAAATAATAGGTGAATATTTGAATAGATGCTGGAGAAATTACACTGGAAAATTCCAGCCTCTAGAATTAGAAAGGATGAATCAATGTCGCTCAAATTAATTCAGGTTGGATTAAGCATGTAATATAAATACAGTAAATTACAAAAAGCAACATTTTGTGTAGGGGCGAACAAATTTTAAGTACAGTGAAACTTCATTATGTGTATTAAATCTACATATTTCCCAAACATTTACCTGTCGCATAAAAGATTACCACTTAATGAAATAAAATGCTCATAGAGCAATGGTTCCTCCTCCAAAAATTTTCTTTATAAACAAACGGCTCCAAACCAGGGGTGCCTGAGCTAGACTTTGAAGTTATAAAGACGTTTCATTGTATTTTTAAAACCTTTTTAATGAGCTAATTTGAACAAAGATGTAATCAACCCCCATTCGCATTTTATGATGTACAGGTGTAGAGTTGCTTTTTACATGTGGAAAAGATAGCTTGCATTTATTTTTAATGCAGTTATTAAAACATTTTTGTAGTCCCCATCAAGGAAAATTTTCAGTGCACAAAATGGCGAATCATAATCCAAACAGTTCAATGCTTATTTTTTTGTAGGTTTTAGTAAAATATTTATAAACCAACCACAAAATATACATCAAAATGTCAAATTTAAATCAAGATTGCAAATTTAGTCTTTTCCATTGTCTCTGTTCTCAGTGCCATGCTTGTACCATTGATAGAAGGTGAACACTAGGCAACTGGTAGCGAAAGAAAAAAATCCATTCTTTAATGAAGAATTCAGGTACATTAGCCATTTGTTATTTTATGGTGGACAGTTTTCTCTTAATGTTAATTGTTATTTGTTGGCAAAATAAAAGTGCCTTAAGTTAAAAGTTTGTTTTGAGATTCATTGAAGAAATCAGTATCGGTTCATAATGCATTTATTTACAAGTCTTTTTTTTTTTTTTGCATGTCCATTATAAATTTAATATTGTAAATGTATTCAAATTCATTTACATGCCTATGGCTGCCTTTGATTAAATTTCTTCCAAAAAATAAACTGTCCAGATGTTGATTTTGTTCAATTTTATTTTATTTCATGTCAGATTACTTGAATATAAGTTGTTGCAGAATCACTACCAAGTGGATTCTTTGCTGTGCATTTGTATATCCCAGAATCTGAGGTTTGAGGGTTCTGAATGACTAGGGTACCTTGCGGGTGAAAAGGCCCAATTCCGTATGTCCTCCCTTTATTTGCCATTGAGAGCACGGAGTGGTCAGGCATCTCCCATGTGACTTCCGGCTTGGGAACCCCGAGGGCCACGCAGTGGAGCTGAACAGCCGCCCCTGTCCTTGTGAGGACGCTCCTGGGTGGGCGATTTATAATTCGGGGTGGGTAGGCTACAACCATTACTGGAACAGTAATCAGTGCATGGCCAATGCTATTTTGAGCCTTACAAATATAGTTTCCTCTGTCATAAGCTGTTGCTTCTTTGATGACTAAGGTCCCATTTTCATACAATATGTATTTTCCACTAATTTGAGGCCTATCTACTATAAAACCACTTGGCATAGTCCACTTGATATTTGGCTTAGGGCTTCCATTCGACACACAATGCAATGACAGAGATTCTCCACTGATACAGTAAACTGTTCCTAACGCATAAGTAAGAATAACTGGCTTCTGACCAATTTCTAATACAATTAATTTCTCAATATAGCCAACTTTATTTCTTGCCCCACACCGATATTTTCCTGCGTCGTCCCGAGTTGTCTTGTAAATGATAAAAGAGTCATTGCTTGCTATCAGATACTGAGAATTTTGTGGTCCATTGGGAAATCGGGTGCCATTTGGTAAAATCCAGATTATTTCAGGTGGTGGGTTTCCATCAACAGAGCAATTTAATGCTGTGGACTTTCCGAGCTGGACAACTACTTTTTCATTAAATGGATTTGTGAACGTCGGTCTTCTCAGCATTTCCAGTACTTCCAACCGTACCACCAGCACGCTCTCACCTCCTTCATTCCGAGCCACACAGATAAAATCCGCTGAATCTGAAAGCCTCACATTCCTAATTTCCAAGGTTCCGTTTTTATGGACTGTGATTCTGCTTCCATAGTATGGGGCTGTGAGGAAAATATTGTCTGGCATGATCCACATGATTTGAGGAGATGGTGTCCCTTCAGCTCTACAATCAAAGTGCTTTTTAGAATGCCTCACAGCTGTGGCTTTAATGACAGTTTTGTTTGTATACAAACCATTAATTAATGGAGGCTTCGAGACAACATCCAGTTTGTACATTTTGGTGTCATCCCCACTGGGATTTCGGGCCACGCACACATACTCTCCAGAATCGAGCAGTTTGACTTTGTTGATGGACAAAGACCCATTGGCGTGAAATGTGTACCTATCTTTTGAGAATGAAATCACGTCACTGGAAGGCAGCAGCCAAAATGTTTTTGGTTTGGGTTCTCCAGTGACCTCACAGTCCAGCACGGCTGTGTCTCCAGCTTTGATTCTCGTGTTAGCCCTGTAACCCTGCCTGATCCGTGGGGCCGCTGTTATTACTGTTAGATGGACCTTCATTTCATCCTTCCCTAGAGTGTTCTGGGCGTAGCAAGTATAATCTCCTTCCTCTGCTATCCCCACTTTGTTGAAGTACAAGGTTCCATTGTCAAAAAGCGTGTATCTCTTAATCTGGCTGCCACTGTCATCGGCTTGCATTGCATTGTTTATCATTGTTCCATCGGGCAAACTCCAAGATATCTGGGGCACTGGCGAGCCAGAAGCCTTGCAATCAACCTGGAAATCTTTCCCATGAAACACCTGCTTTTTAAAATGTTGCCCATGGTCAATTTTGGCAGGTTTTAGTCTTAGGCTAACATGCATCAGTATCAGATCATCCCCCATTTTGTTTCTTGCCACACACAAGTAGCTGCCACCATCTTTTTCTGTTATTGATCCAATAAACAGAGATCCGTTGGGATAGACATGGATTCGGCTGCCCATTCTAAAAAGAGAGGAGACATTTCAGTGTACAGCTTACTTAGTAAGGGATGGGGGCAAGGGAGTTGTCTTATTTACACAGGATTAGCCTAATGGACATTTTTTTAAATTAAAATTAGTACTAATTTACTGTGTTCTAAGCCATTTGCTTAAAGATGAAATTATCTAACTGAATAGGTATAATTTCATGCAAATTAGTACTTGTCACATAGACTTCACATGAATCTCCTTTGCATAGTGACTTTTTAAAATCATTCTAATGGTGAGGAGAGTGCTAGAAATATTGGTTTTCTAGACACGTGACTTTCTTGACTACACATCAAATAATCAGTCTAATATATGTCGATATAGAAGAACTTAACAGAAAAGATGCTAGATCATACTTTTTCGGAAGATATTTGCAGTAATACATTTGGAGTTATTTGGTTAGAAAAATAAGTCCTACTTTGTTATAGAGAGAAAATGGCAATGTAAGACTTATTAGATAGAAGCTCGCTGTAGCATCTGCCCTTTGCAACCAACTGTAAAGTGACTGGTCCTTGCATTAAGTTGAACTGGGTGGAACACCATTTTCCTCCCTGAAGCTACTACACAGCCTGCCATTAACACAGTGAACCACCAGATGGCAGACCTTCCCTGGTAAAACTAAATCTAGTTTTTCGGAGAGAGAATGGAAGTTAAGTTGATGCTAAAACCTGATTAAGAACGCCCAGGGGTGAAAATCTACATGTCTTCTAATTTTTTAGCAACCTGAACTAAGCAGTTAAGTGAAACTGGAGAGAAAAGTGTGAACAATCTTTCCAAATCTAACAGCCTCAAGTCATTTTTTATTCCCCAGCAAACATATAATAGAAGTATGGAGAGTATTAGAGTACAACATGACAAAAGGTGCTGGTGTTCTCTTTATTTTTTATTTTTTGAAGTGTGGAAGAAAGTTTCCTGGCATGTAAACCAAGGTAAAATTGTAATGGATACACTTAATAGAGGGAATGGAAACTGCTAGGAACTTAGATCTTTAAGTAGTTCCCCACTATGGAGCTGAAAAAAAAAAAAAGATATCTAGTGAGACTTAGTAACTTACTTCAGGTCACAGGGCTGGTTCTCAAACCTATCTTTCACCATGCAACAGTGCTGCCTGCTATCATTCCTTACTAATCCCATCTAAAGGCACTGATTCTCAAACATGGATGCACATTAAAATCAGTTGTGTAGTATAAAATAGTGCTGCTGCCCAGGTTCCACCTCTGGGACTTCTGACATAATTGGTGTGGAATGTAGCCTTGGCTTTAGAATTCTTAGTTTTCCAGCTGATTCTCTTGTGCAACAAAGTCTGAGAACCACTGCTGTCAGCATAGTTCCCAGCTCAGGTCTCTCATCGCCTGCATCAGAATGATGTAGGACCTAATTTAAGATGCAGCCCCATGTGTCCAGGAATATATTTAAATGCATTAATTTCAGAAAAAAAACTGGCATTCAACATTAATGAAATGCTTACAATTACTTGAAGGCAAAAAAAGGAAATATGCTGATATAATAAATGTAAAAACTGATAAAGCATTGAAAATATTTGATGCCATAAAAGGTTATACATATTGTAAACATGTTATTTATAAAAGTTTACAATTCATAGCTCAGTATTTTTTCATTTTAAATCTAATTTCAATTTAACATCTGGTCAAGTAATTTTGATGACTTAGAAAAACTTGAAAATTAACATTGGAATTTAAAAAATCACAAGTTAAATTCATTAACTATATTAAATACCAACTTATAGTGTGACGGTAGAAAAAATCTATTCATCTTACAAGCATAATAAGTTCTTAACTATTTTGTTAAATTTTTTCCAGCATGGATATTTTCTACTAATGAAAAGCAAATATATAAAATAGAAATACTTGTTCCCATCTTTTCTGTCATTATGTAAAGTCATTGCATAAAGTCATGCAAATAGAAAAAATTAATTAGCAACTCATAAACTGCAGTTACTACTTTTTAAAGATGATTTAATCTCCACAGAAAGCCAGATAAAAATATCAATAAGCCTGTAGCAGAGCATATTAGAGAAAGTGTGCACGTGCCTGACAACATGGGAGTGATGTAGGTCCTGAATACATTTCACTTTGTGAAAGTTATTGTTGTGACTTTCATAACATGCTTTGCAAGTTAAGATAGTACAGATTATACTAAAATTTAAAATGTTTCATAAGAGACTTCGAAGGATGAAATAATGGAGTACACCTTCCAGAAGCTTTATTGAATTACAAAAATTCCTCTTCCGGGGTTGAGAAATTACGAATACATATACACAGTTACTATTTTAAAACTATCACAACTATGGAAGCAAATGAGACTTTTACTCTGTGTTTAACTATATAAACTCAATGAGAAATCGGCCCTTAGAGTTAGGCATTTAAGAAGCTTAGTTTTATATAATTTATATTAATTTCAAAAGGGATTAGGTCTCTTTAGAGAGTTACTTTTATGGGCAGGGTCAATGGGCTCTCAAACTCATTGGATCACTTTTTCTATTTCAGAAGTACAGCTAAGTAGATAATCTCAACACAGAGGTGTGGTTTACCTGTGCCACTGGTCGACGACAGCCTTGGATGGTAGCCTCCAAATTATTTGGGGTTTGGGTTCTCCAATGGCTGAGCAGTTCAGTAGTAATTTCTCCCCAAAATTCACCTCATTCCATGTCTGGGATGCAAATTCTATCCTGGGGATGGTCTCTCGCTCTTCCATTGTAATAATTACCACCCTTCTCTCGGAGCCAGTGGAGCTGGTAGCGATGCACTCATAAGTGCCTCTGTTTGAAGAGGCTATGTTTTTAATGTACAGAGTCCCATTTGAAAATAAGAACAACTTGGAATCAATAAACTGTAATGGCTTCACTTCGGTGCCATCAGAAAGAACCCAGTGAACACTGGGCTGAGGAGTTCCTTTTGCAGTGCAGGGCAGTTTCAAACTTTCACCCCAAGTCGCTGCAATGACTTGCCTCTTTTGCTCTAGAATGACAGGTGGGGCTGCAATGACTTGAATTTTAACCAGCAGTGAATCCTGGCCAGCAGAGTTCCAGGCCATGCATTTGTAAAAGCCCCGGTCATAAACACTGAGATTATGGATGACCAACGTTCCATCAGATGTCACCCGGGCTTGCCTATTCCCCTTGGATGACTCTGAGACCACTGTTTGGTTTGCGAGAATCCAGGAAATCGTAGGGCTCGGCCTACCTTCTACTCTACACTTCAGTTCCACAGTGCTTCCAGAATGGACTGTGATCTCTTTGGTATGTCTCTCCAGGATCCTAGGGGGATAGGAAACCACGGACAAGGTGATGTGAAGGCGATCTGTGCCAAATGGGTTGGATGCTGAGCACAGGTACTGTCCACGGTCCTGAACGTCCACCCTCTGTATGGACAGGGTGCCATTGGGGAGCACCTGAAATCTGTTATTCTGTTTCCTTTTAGACAAATCAAGTCCTGATAAAAGAAAGAAATTAAGAGCCATAGTTCATCAAAGCCGAGACAGAAAACAAATTGTTCAAGTGGCAGTCTCAAGAGGAAAGCTATCTTTTTGTTAGGCTACTGAGAACAAATATATTCAAAATTAAAATTAGGACACCTAGTCTTCACATTGCTAAAATTATTTCTGGAATTTTTTTATACCCATAATTTTAATTTAAAAGATGGATGATTCAATGACAATTCTCTCTTTCAAGTCCCATTTCTTTGAATCTGCTTTCAAAGCATTTCAATAAAATGTTCTTAATTAGCATATGTTTTTAAACCTAAAGAGCACTAACGCCATGTAGCAAATGCCAAATGAGGATATTAATAGTTTCTACATCTTGGGGAAGTTTGAAACTGATGTTTGTTCTTTGGATATATAACCCTGAAACACAATCTTTCCCTTGTTTTGTAACCGAGGAGACTAAGTGTAAAGAAACTGTTTTAAATACCTGATGAGACTCTGGTCCAGTGGATGGTGGGCAGGGGATTTCCAACAGCCTCACAAGGAAGAAAGGCATCTGAGTTAGCTGGAATAGTAAAACTTGCTGCTTTTCCTCCAACTATTCTGGGCCTTTCAAATATATTCCTAGACAAAGGCTCGGTAGGAAGGAGTTCAGGAGTTATTTTTTGAACCAGTGTCTTATCAAAATGACTCTTCTTTGCAGTCTTTTGTATATCCCAATTTGAAGCATGAGTGGCGTCCTCTGGCAAGCCTGGAGTGGGCAACATGCTCATTCCTTGCTTTTTTCCTTTTTCAGCAATTTCTGGGTATGACTTGTGCCAAAAGTGGCTTCCTGACCAGAGAGAAGGAGTCCATTTAGAATTCAGTGGTTTGACTGTTATTAGTGCTGGCGTAGGAGTAGAATGTAACAGATTGGAATACATAAAGTAGGTGGTTCCAGTTGTGAATTTGGCATTTGGATGAACCTCGGAAGATGCTGCAACCTTTTCTGCCAATTGCTGTGGATCAGCATTGTGCCTTGAGGGTTCATGCAGCTTGACCGCCGTATTTGTCGTCATCTGGAAAATGGGAGTTGCCACGATGTCAGTAAGTGCGTTTTGATTACTCAAGGTAGGGGAGGTGGGAATTAGCATTGGAGAAGCTCTACTGCTCAGGAATGGTGGCACAGTTGAGTGTCTAATGGTTGTGTTTCTAGTTGTGGTCCTCTGGTGTAGTTTGCTAGACAAAGTGGTTTCAGAAGCAGTTGTGCTCTTCAAAGTCTGAGTACTCTCTTGGGGTGGTTCTTCAATTACATCTGTCCAATTATGTGTTCTTGGATAATGATCAATTATGCTTGAAATTCCTTTGGTGTTTTCTAGGGAGGGATGAGTGAAAGCAGAAACACTGGGCTTGGCTGAAGTTCTTGCTGCAATTGGAACAGGAAGTATCGCAGCAGTAGATGTACTGAAGCCAGAACTTTGGTGGGGGAAACTGTTTGGGGCA